GAGATGCCATCCGCGCCCGGAGCCTTTTTGGGCTTAAGTCCTTTGATGAGGGATGAAATCTCATCATTGGACACAGAGATAGGTTCGGAGGCCGTAGGGGGTGAGTTCCGGCGGCGGACTTCATCCTCCACTGCCTGGACGTGAGAGGGGTCGACGGGTTGAGAACTAGGAGAGCATTGAGCGGCAATGCTATCTGCAAAGCACTCAGCCTTTTCCTCGTCCTCGAAGGCAACCGTGCCGTCGGGACGGGAGAGAGGAGGAGTGTGGGTGATAGCGTCTATGCGGAGGGCTCTAGCCATCTGATAGTACGCTGTGTGAGATGGAGAGATATTCTCCATGAGCTTACTCTTTTCGAGGTCTCGAAATTCAGAGAGGCGGAAGCGGAGTTCTCGTTGAAGACGATTGGCCGCGCGCCTATATTCGGGGGTGGGATATTTTGCTGCTCTCCGGAAAGCAGCTTTTTTGGCTTTTAATAGGTTGCTAATATGTAGGGGAAGCCCACTATTGTTAGCAACCGGGACGACCCTTTCGTTCTCCTTAAGGGAGGATTTAATAAGGGTGGAGAGTGAATCGACCGCGGTGTCGATTTTTTCGGGACTATCTAAGTCCGACGGTAGGGAGATGGTAGAGTCCTGTGGGTCCAAAGCTTTAGCTAGGGACTCCTTGAATCCCTTCCAGTTAGTGAAGGTTTTCGTGTGTGTTGGAGGAGGTGGCTGATGACCAAGAATGAGGGAGACCGGTCGGTGATCGGATCCTAGATCGTCTAGTGTCTCGATTGCTCTGAGGTGTAGAGAAACTCCTTGGAGTAACGCAAAATCTAACACATTGGGGGCGTGATCGGTGTTATCGGGAAAGTGAGTAGCCTGCATACCGTGGCTTCCATGTTGGTAAGTTGCGGAGCAGAAATGGGCGAGCAATGAAGTGTCTTCTTGTAATAGATGGCCGTTCCGCCGCCTCGGCGGTCGGGTCTGTCGTTACGAAGAAGAGAGAAGTTTTTAATAGAAAGGCCTCTAGTGTCCTTAGCTTTGAGATTAGTTTCCTGTAGGAGGAGGAAATCGACTTCACGATTCCGAAGAAAGAGCTTAAGCTCTGGGAGGTTATTTCGCAAGCCGCGAATATTAAATGATACAAGCGATAAACCCTTAGGTTTGATACGACCGTGAGATTTAGGTAGAGTGATTTGCTCAGTCATTGAAGTTAAGTTAATTAAGTTAACTTAACTTACAACGCTAATAGAAGATTGTTGTGTTCTGCAAGAACGAGGAGACGTTCTTGGGGGGACTTCGCCGCGCGCAGTTTGCGTGCTACTACGGTGATTTCCTAACATCGATATTCCTAATAGCGGAATATAGTGTGTTGTAGTCGTCAGGTGTGGGCTCTGCTTCATGTGCATACGAGGTTGTCCGCGGTGGGTCTGCCTTTTTGGGCCCCCAGGGAAAGACAGGACGCTGCATTGGCTTGGAGAAGCCCGGGAGGGGGCCGAATTATGCCCTGAGGGGGCCTAGGGGGACCCTGAGAGGGTCGAGAGAAGCCCTAGATGGGCTGAGAAAGGCCCTGACGGGGCCGTTGTTGGAGGGCCGGGAATGAGCGGTCATTTACCGGCGGTGGAGCTTGCCTACTGGGGCGAGGTTGAGGTGCGCGTGGGCAACCTCTGTAGTTAGCCGGATGTCCTGTCTGTTTGCACAGGACACAAGCCGGCGGGGATTCGGCGTCTTTGGGCCGGGGACACTCTTTCGTGTTATGGGGTTCGAGGCACTTTACGCACCTGGATGGGGCGGAGCAGTTGGCCGCCGCGTGACCATAAAGTTGGCAACGGTGGCACTGCGCCGGGAAACCGCGCCTATGTGGGGGCTCGACCTTCACCCTCGACAGGCCGCACACTGTGCGTACCTGCCGGAAGATGGCTGTAGCCTCCGGCACGTTGGAAAGGATGATTAGGGCCAAGTTAAATCTTTTGCCCGTCCCACTGTGCATTTTGTGCACGGCTTCGACAGGAAAGCCTTGGGACTTATGGTCCTCAAGTATTTCCTCGTTAGAGAACTCGAAAGGGACGCCTCGGATGACGGCCCTGACTTTACGCTCTTCAGGGAGAGCGTAAGTGTGGTAGGAGACTCGTTCGGCTGTGAAAAGCCTGGTGAGTTTTCGGAAATCCTCGATCGAGCTGGGGATGATTTTGATAGCCTCCCCGAGGTTGACGGCATTGTCGTACTTAATTCCTGCGTCGTAGCAGGTTTTCGACAGTTTGGTGAATTTGGCCTTGTCTCTTAGGAAGACAGGGGGCGGGACTTGCTTCTTAGCAAGGACTGGAGCACATCGAGAGGATGGTTTAGTTGGGGTTGGGATGTCAAGGGACATGAGTGGGATGGCGGCAGCGGCGGGGGCTGCGGTGGCAGCGGCGGGGGCTGCGGCTTTATTGGCCGATTGTTCGGCTTTTATACTTTTTGACGGATCTGGGATAAGAACGGGAAATTATTTAAATTAAAAGCAAATTTTTGTAAATGGCCAAGAGGAAAAGAGTATTTTTGTGGAAGTTTTGAAGTAAAAACATCAGACCGGTAACGAATTCGAATAAAAATTGCCATGACAACCAGATAAACAACTATGTCAAAATATGTCAAATTTTGGTTTTAGGCTCGTAATAGAGAAACGGCAAGATTTCAGTGAAAAATGAGATATTATTGATATAGGAAAAACGGTAGCGCAACACTGCGCACGAAGCCCGAATTGCAGAGTTACGGAGAACTAAATAAAAGACCGAAAAAGTAGACTCCATTGACACCGATTTAAAAAAGTGCTGATAACGTGAAAATACGAAGTGAAAATGATTTGTTATTGTGTTCTTATGGTTTAAAAACGTTACAGGATTCTATGGAAATAAAGGTGATGCAAAATATCCAGTTTTGAGGCGAATGCAGAAACTCAAAAACAGAATGGAAAAATAAATTTAAAATAGTGTAAAATGATATATAAGTAGCATAACACTACAACCTACTTAACAATCACATTTCAAAAAAATGGTTTAGCAACAATTTTATTTATATAAATTAGGTAATAGTGAATACAAAGGATATGAATACAAAAGGCAAGGAACCTACCTATTTAATCCACATCCTCCATCCACAGAACACACTATTACGTAGCAAAGTGACTTAAGTCAGTGAGGTGTGTACCTACAAACCTAGCCTTACTTGAAATTCGGCAAACCAGCGATAAATTGTGGTTTTGGATGGGGCTTCATCACCAAATGCAGAACGCATCCGGTCAATACACTGTTTTTGTGTTAAACCACTTCGAAAGTCATAATAAATCATCGCTCTTGGGTTTTCTCGAGTTAATTCCATTTTCTCAACGACTAAACAAGTTTGACAAAACCTTGGGGCAAGACCTAGAATCTTTTTTTTAAATAAATAAATGGTATTCGATTTTTAAAACGAAGGAGTTTTCAATTAAAATATTTTAATATGACAGGAACAGTGGAAATATTCCATTCCCGATACTTTTAGTGCAGCCTAGTACGTAAAAATATATTACTTAGGATCAGCTGCCTGACAATAAGTTATCAAGTAGCCACTAGGTTGGTTGGAGCAGCTGCAAAGGTGCCGAAACAAGCAATTTGTTAAGATATGTGTTTTGCTTAGTACCATTCTCAAGAATGGTATTGAGTAAAACAGTTACTTATACAAAGCGCCACGTTGCAGGTGACACACAGAAACTGCGTACGCTTGTGGCAGACGCTACAATGGCCGCGTTTTCTTTGTTTCAGTTTCTCATTGAAGGGAAACTTTCGGGAAATGGCGAAGGATTTCCGTCGAGAATTTCACCTTCAAAGAGTGTGTCGGCTCCAACGGCTCCAACGTGATGACTCGCTGTTAGCCATGTTTTTCAAGGATTTCCTTGATAAGGGTTTTGCGGAATTGGCGGTGCGTGGCCACGCGAGGATGTGGATGTTCTGGTGCTGGGCTGTCTCTATGTAAAATGTACCCATTGAGCACGCTGGCGTTAAGTAGGCGGCGGAAAAACTTTTTGTACCATACCAAGCTTTGCTTCCTTTCGATGGGATACGCAGACAACATTTGGTCCTTCTTGTCTACACCGCCCATGCGGACGTTGTAGTCGTGGACCAATTTTTGGTTTTGACTTCCCATCTCTGGAAGCTGAACCCGCGCCGTGGTACGTAGACGTCAAGGTGACAACGTTTCGGTCTTTCCAAACCAGAATATCAACATCCCCACTCGTGGCGCCGTGTACGCTGCCAAAAGCAAGAGGCTGTTTTATAAGCGCCTTTAAATTTGAGGGCACATTTTGCCTATTTAACCTTAGTGTTCCCACACAATCAAACCTTGGCTTTTCAAAAGCCTAGAGAGAAGAGGACTATTATAGTAATTGTCCATAAAGACAGTGTGTCCTTTGTTCTCGAGCCCCTTAAGTAGCTCGAGAACAAGGGGTGTAATATATCCCAGCTCGTTCGACTCTTCCTCATTGCGACCGGCATGCATCTTAAATCGCCGCAAATACCCCGAATTTGAGTCGCACACCTCGTAAGTTTTTATGCCCTTCGATGCTGCTTTGTTTTTGATAAATTGATTGATGCTTAGCCACCCCTTCCACTGAGTCAAAGACTCGTCCAATGTGGCTAATATCAACCTCATTATTCACAAAGTGAAGCATCTGGGTAAGGGCGGCAAATCTAGTGTATGTCATGTAAAGACCAAAATTCGGGGTATCGGTTACTTTGCCTTTGACGGTCCAGTATTCCGTGAGATCCGATTTAAAGGCAATGCCGGTCGCAAGGATCAAAGCAAAAAAGGCGTACAGCTCGTCGGTATTTGTGTCTTTAAACATGCGCAGCCGGCTGTGAGGACCCACACTGCCCTTACTTAGTGCGGCCTCTAGCGATTGCTTCGCGTACCGATTTGTTTCCGCAGCTATATCCTCCATTATGCTGCGGTCCCAAATTGATATGAAAGCTTCGTAAGGTGAAGCGAAATGTGAAACCGGCCCTACCGACCCTGTGAATTTCTCCCTACGCTGCTGGGGGGAATTGCTGGTATGGGCAACGACTCCCAATAAAATTCCGCGAGCGAGTGTGGGCCCTGGGTTGCCGATGCAGCACTTACGGGTGTGGATGGCGTGGATGTGGATGGCGCGGGTGTGGATGGCGGCGGGCTAATTGATTCCGCCGATGATGACGGCTCGGTAGGCAGGTCCATCGGCGCATCGAAATCCATCAACGAATCTAAATAAATTCGTTCGTTTCGAGGACACTGCATATATCCGAAGACGTCGTCATCTTCGTCCACGCCCTCGTCATCATCTGGATCACTTCCTAAAGACAATAAGTTTAATTTATATATTTTCTACATGACTGCTTCCTTTCGACTAACACTAAAAGTCAGTGACTTACCGTAGTTCACAAGATCCGCCAGCTCCGGATCGTCCACATTGTAGACCAGCTTCCGTTCACGACCTACAGACTTAAAAACAAAATAGACACATTAATACAGAGCTTGACAGTAGCAATATGGAAATTGATAGCTATTTCACTTACACGGACGAAGAGGGGTTTACAGATACACCCTTCGGGGTATCTGACGTCTTCGGAATCTCCATGAACCTAAAACGGATTTGTACAATTATTACTGAACAGCCATGTAGCAGCAGCAAGATACAAATATATGTGCCTATTTAACTTACTCAGCTGGTGAGGACACCTGCGACGCGTATGCCGAGGGTCTGGGTGTCCGCAAGAGTGCCGAACTTGCGATCGGTCTGTAAAAAGTTGACATGTAACACAGAGCTAGACAGTAGCAATATGAAAATTAATGGCTATTTCACTTACAGGGACGAAGAGGGCCTAGGATTTACACGGGGTATCTGGCCTACTCGGAATCTCCATGATTCTAAAACGAAATTTGCACAAGTATTACTGAAAAGCTCTGTAGCAGCAGCAAGATATAAATATATGTGCCTATTTAACATAGTCAACTGGCGAGGGGACCTACGACGCAGACGCCAAGAGTCCAGGTGTCCGCAAGTGTGCAAAGGTCGCGTTAGATCTGTGAAAAGTTGACATGTAATATACAGCTTAACAGCAGCAAAAAAAAACTTACTCACCCAACGACGGCGCAGGCTGGTTGGGAACCCAACACCGTGGCACTTTTTGGTACATGGGTTTCTCGAGTGGGCTCCCAACACGTACCGTCGTGGAGTCTGGATCCGTCCTCCCTCCTGTCCCCGACATATAACGACGATCTATTAAAACAGTATATTACAAAATCAGCTGCATCTGCATGAACATAAATATGTACTTAGTAAAAATAAACACAAACCTTTCAATTTCATGCACTCGCTCTCGACCACCTCTTGTTCTTGATCCACGTCCCTCCCACCGTTGTTGACCACGTCCAACCCCTCTATTCACACCGCGTCCACTCCCACGTCTACCTCCTCGACCAACCACCGCTTTACGACCTCTTGTTCTTAAGCCATGCAAAGAAAAGAAAGAAAAGGAGCTTAAATAAATAAAAAAAGTTTTAACAACTCACGACACAAGAAAAAACCACAAGAAAGTCAAAAAATGAAATGTCTCTCGTTCGGGAGACCACAAAAGAGAAGTACTAAAAGGGTATTTACACGGGTCAGGGTTTTTTTTTTAAATTTATATATTTTATTTTTATTTCATTATATTAAAATTACACCCAAATAAAAAAGCCTCATTGAAATCGCTTGATACATTTATGCACTACGAATATAAGTACAGACAGACAAAGACATTTTCTTGCCGCCATTTTGTTTGTTTTATTGCACCTAAATTTGCCCAAGGAGTACATTATTTTACACCCCTCTTTTTGCGGTTAAAAACAATAAAAAGCAATTCAAATTTATAAACATTATTTTACGGTAGCGCAGTCTTATCCATACTGTGTTAAGGATGATTCACGCTACAACGTGACGCGGCCGGGCCGTGCCCCGGTCGGGACACGTCCACCGTGCGCTGGCCGGGCCAGTCATTCATGTTACACCGGGCTGTTTGCACGACCGTGGCTTATGCACGACTCTGTGTTATGTGGTTTTTGTCAGCTAGTGATTTCATCTGTCGATAGACTTCACGCTTACGTAAATATGCAATTTTCACAATTTGAATTGGCAGTTATTGCAATTGCCATCGATGATGAAGTATTGGAAAAACGAAGCGAAACTACTAAGAGAAGATGGGGTGCATCCAACCTGGAGAAAGCGAGAAGCAGAAGGAGAATTTGCTTTACTTTACAAAGAATTAATAGATGATGAGAGCAAGTTTTATGGTTATTTTAGAATGTCTAAAGAATGCTTTACTTTTTTACTTGAAAAAGTAAAACCAGACCTAACCAAAAAAATTACAAGATTTCAAAAGCCTATATCTCCCATCGAACGATTAGCAGTCTGCATCAGGTAAATAATAAATTGATATGCACTAAATCACATAGTATTTAAAAATGTAGTAAGTATTTAAAAATTGACCCGTCTCACAACCATCTATCAGAGCTGGTTGTAAGATGGGTCGATTTTTTCTAAATACTTCATTTTCAATTTTTCAATTTGTACAGTAGGGCTACGATGGCTATCCGAGTACAGAACCAGAGCTCGAAACCTATCCAACTGCAGAGAGGTGTAAGACAGGGTGACGTTATATCCCCGAAACTATTCACCGCTGCTTTGGAAGACGTTTTCAAGCTACTGGACTGGAAAAGGATACGGTATTAACATCAATGGCGAGTACATCACTCACCTTCGATTTGCCGACGATATAGTCCTTATGGCAGAATCGCTGGAGGACTTAAGCACTATGCTCAATGACCTCAATAGTGCCTCCCAACGGATAGGTCTTAAGATGAACATGGACAAAACAAAGATCATGTTTAATGTCCATGTCACACCTATGCCGGTAGTTGTTGGGATCACTATGCTCGAAGTTGTTGACGAGTACGTTTACCTGGGACAAATAGTCCGACTAGGTAAGTCCAACTTACCACGAGAGGTCAATCGACGGATTCAACTCGGCTGGGCAGCGTTCGGGAAATTACGACACATCTTCTCGTCAGGTATACCTCAATCTCTGAAAACTAAAGTGTACAACCAGTGCGTGTTGCCAGTGATGACTTACGGATCAGAGACGTGGTCCTTCATTGCTGGCCGTATGAGGACGCTCAAGGTCGCTCAGCGAGCTATGGAGAGGGCTATGCTCGGAGTTTCTCTGCGTGATAGACTCAGAAATGAGGATATCCGCAGTAAAACCAGAGTGACCGACATAGCCCAACGGATTAGTAAGCTGAAGTGGCAATGGGCCGGCCATATAGCTCGAAGAACCGATAACCGATGGGGAAGAAAGGTTCTCGAGTGGCAGCCTCGTATCGGTAGGCGTAGTGTAGGGCGACCCCCCACTAGATGGAGTGACGACCTGGTAAGATATGCAGGAAGTCGATGGATGCAGGTGGCTCAGGACCGTGCTTTGTGGCATTACTTGGGGGAGGCCTATGTTCAGCAGTGGACTTGTGAAGGGCTGTGATGATGATGATGATGAATTTTTCAATAATCAAAATTGCATTGTGAATGAAAAAAAGTAAAAAGGCGAACGGCAGGCTTGTATGAGAATTTCGTACACCTAAAAAATTTCGTGTTTTGGGATATTTTTTGTTTTAATTGGTAGTTAGTAGGATAGACAAGCACTTTTTAAATTCTTAGATTTTTAAAACTTGGGACGTAAAAGTTATAACCAATTTTATTTTTTAAGGTTATGTACTAGTGTATCAATGTAAATTGTTACATATAGGCACATAAACATTGTTTTGGTTATAAAGTAAATGTTCTAGATTGCTTGTCGCTATCTTTGTAGTGTTTTACTTACCAATAAGTAGGTAGTTTGAGATGAGGATCGTACCTACATACTCAGTGGGGTGCTTTAGGGGATACCTATAGCTAGCAGCGGACTGTTTGATAGAACAAAAGTTTGATAATGATGAAGTTCTGGTAGGGTTTTGAGTGTAGATAAATGAAACAATGCTTTGTTTTTGCAAGTACATTTATTTTATTGTACTTAAATTCAATTTATTCTTAATATTACTTCATCTAAGAAGGGGGCAGGTCGGGTAATACCCTCATGGCGAGCATAACTAAGGTACCAAATAATGCTCATCACATGTGAGCAGCATCCCACGGTTCTTAAACCTACAATACAATTACAACAATAACTCCTGATTGCGTCCCGACCATTCATGTTTGTTTCTGCAACTATAAATACAAAATAAGTTTTAGCAGAAGAATGGCGGGACTTTATTTTAGCACGAAGCAACATTGGGTTTGTTCCCTCTAAGCCACGTATTCTCTCTCGGGATACCTCTAATGTGTATATTCCATGAAAGCGGAAATGCTCACCTACATATGAACGAGCCTGGCGAATTTGGTATACACCACATGCAAATAGTATCAATTCCTCCATGGATAGCCGCGGAAAAGATAGGGTTGTCGCATCTATGGGTACAAACCAGGAACCGCGCCTGTTTAAATTATGTTCCCTAACTAACTCGGCTATAGTGTTGGTTAAAAACAGGCGCTCATATATAATTGAAACAAACTGCTCTGCATGTATATTTTCTGTGAATGGTGGAGTAAACGCATTTAGCAGAGCAGCTGCTATTTTAAAATCTGTCATTAGATTGCGACAACCACGGTTAAAATATTCATGGCGGAATATTTTGAAGTCCCTTTTAAAACGGCCATTCACAGCTTCTACTACCCACCTGTTTATAGTTACACAACGTGATCTGTTGGCTTCAAGAGTGGATAGCTGTGATTGGCCGTCTTCTTTAATTTCAGGCATATGGCCTATATATCCTTTCTCATGCAGACTATCCATGCAGTCACGAAATCCTCTATCTACAATAAAAACATCATTTTCTCTATAAAAATTATTGAATTCCGTTTCGTTTAATAAATCATTCATTATTGTCGCATCAGTTGTAGTGGCACTATATGGTCCACGTACATCTATGATATATCCATCAGAGGTACAGAGCATAAAAGGCTTTATTAAGTTCCTATATTTATGTAGGGAATATGTGTCTTTTTGGAACAAGTAATTACTGCTTTTTTGTGTATATATATATGTTGCATCGGCTATTGTAATTGCAGGTTTTTGTTCAGCTGGCGCATCAGGCTCACCAAAAATGTGATTGGCAATGTTGGTAGTTTTTGCTGCCACCTGCTCTCTTCTTAAATGAGAAAATCCAAGAAATTGTGGAACATAGTCTGTTAACAAGATATTTCTTGCTACAGACATTAATGTTTCTATGGTCCTTCTTGGTACTTGAAATAAGCACGACAATCTGTCTCCTGAATCTCCAGTCCTTAACTTGCACAATAAGGCTGTTAATGCAAAACTACCCCGATGCATATTCCTCAGCCTAGGTGTTGCTTCTAATATTTGTTGATGTTCTTGTTTACTTATGCCTATAAAGTACTGCATTTGGTTATCAGGGTAGTTTTGAATATTTTCATAAGAAATGTTATGAAGTCCTTCCATTAATATAAAAATAATCTCTTCTATTTGTATGGAAGTAAAGTAATTAAGGCTGTATTCAGCAGAATACAGATTTTCATAATTTGCCTCCTGTCTATGCAGAGAACAAATACGAGCACCTCTTGGTATAAAATATTGATACCTAATTAATACTTCTCGCCTGGTTTCTTCAGGCACAACATTTCGCTCTGGTTCCATGCATTCTTGGAAAATGCAATGCTTGGGTGTTTCAGCCGCTCTTCTTATGTTGGGCAACACAATATGCTGGGGTCTTTCTTGTGGTTCTTCTGGAACATGTAAGCTCAAATCTCGAGCTTGGTCCCAGCAAATTCCACAAACTTCATTCATGGATGACATTTGTAAATAATTAATTTTATGAGATGGCCATTGATATCAAAAGAGTCAATACTATTATATATGAAATACAAATTAAACACTAAGTTCAATAGACATAAGTTGTCGCCAACATGTTCAAGCATAAAAGAAACACAAACAAGAAAGATGTAGGGTACAGTGAGATTTCTGATTGAATTTGGGCAACCCAAGCTGGAGAATGGTTCTTGAGATACTATATGTATGGATAATAATTGGTTTCCTTCACCTTACAGAAAACCTTTACCAAATAGCTATGTTGTGTTTCTATGAGTGAATAAGTTTATTGCTCATTGGAGTAAAGGAGAAGGGCTCTTTGTTGTTAGTAGAAACAACCTCATGAGTATCCCAGGGTTAGCAACATTTAAGTGTAAAGCCCTTTGCATGGCAAGTGTTTATAAGCTAGTTACTGTAAATATATTATCTCATATATACCTGCTGATGCTCCAACAAACGGGCAATATTGTCGGAATTCCACTCTTCATCTGATGTTGTGGTGGACAGACTCCGTCCACATACAGCACACATTAAAACAGAATAATCACCATCCACATGATCGGGTGAAGGGGGTTGAATGTCTTCAACTGGTGGAGCGATCCTCGTTCTTCTAGCTCTTAGCCAACATGGCACACAAGCTTCATCTTCAGAACAAAGCTAAAACAAAAATATAAATAAATAAAAACTTTCACTCAAACATGCATGATAATAGTGGGAAATAATTAATATTATTTTATTTCTTAGTTAGTTTATTTTTTAGTTTAAATGAAATAAAAATATTTAATAATAATTATAGTAGGTATACCTCTCGTGGTTGGATCCAAGTAGAAACTGTATTAGCCATTCTTTGTTCTTCTTCATTGGCCCCTTCAATCAAAATCCTACGTCGACTAATTCTAAGTATGGATCGTCCGCATACAACACATACTTTTTGATGGCCAACTCGTCTTCTCGGAATATTATTAGATGAAATTGAATGAGTAGCTAGCTGCCAGCATGGATGACAAATATGGTCAGCAGGTGTTATCTGGAAATAATGAAATTATTTGGAGTACTGTTCAACATTATATACTTTCCTCTCCTTTTCAGTGGTCATACTATCAGACTAATACCTATTCTAACACTAAGGAGAACCAAGATACATGTAAATAACAAATTGTATGCATACACATAACCTTATTTTTTAGTTTTTAGAATATTATATACATATTTAGTGTGGTATGGTGTGGTTTAAATGATCAGGACTACTTTTCAACACGTAAAACTCATTACAGAGTTCGTCACTAGCCCACTCATATGTGGAATGTTATTCGTAAACTACTTACGTCTCTAGGATATGTCCACAGTCGAATAGTATTGACGACATCTTCACTCTCATCGGATAAAACGTGCCTTCTTATTCGGGACAAGCGAACGTTGCAATTAACACATTGCAAACTCGACATTTTAATTATAGCACGTACACACACAACACAGTTAATATAGCGTCCTTTCGAGAAACTACTATCAAGAGATAGAGTACGGAGGAGCAGATGCTCAACTCAACGTAAAAACAGCCAGATAATTCGCTAAATTGCTCAGATGTAGTCACAAACTACAATCCAAAACAACAGCAAAGAACTGAACTGAATTTAACTGAAAGACAGATTGTCTTTACCTGTCAATAAATAATTGCCATATGAACAAAAAAAATATTGATGACGAAAACATTCCTATCATTAAATCGTTAACCATTATGATTTATGCAACAATTATGCATTCTTAGGTATAATATATGTTTTTTTAATTATGTGTTTAATTATATGTAGTGTTATTTCTATTTCTAAATAATTAATTATCATTTCGATATCTGTGCTATTTTACATGTGGCAACTTCTAAAAACAACTGCGTTCAGTTTACGATTATATTACGTTTTTTTATTAAAACCTTTTTATTGATATTATTAATTAATCCCAAGTTCTAAAAATAGTACACTAACAGGAAAGTAAATAACTTAGTTGCCTTAATATGTGGTACAAATTCTATAACAAAACAACAAAAAAAGTATGCGGTACGAAATCTGCCATTCACCTTTAAATAATTCGCATAGTATTTATTCATTTCAGTAGTCTGCTGTGAACTCTGAAAATAAAGTAGACAAATTATTAGATTCCAAAGGCGTAAATTCCGAAGGCGAAGGTTCCGAAGGCGTAGGTTCCGTAGGCGTTGATTCCGGTGTTGGCGTTGGTGTAGTCATCGGAACCGGTGCATACACCGACCTTGAATTAGTAGACGACGCCGACGTTGTTCCACTCATTGGAGATGTGTAAGAAGAAGGCTCTGATGACAATTGCTCCCACTCCAAATCTTGTACTACTGCAAATATACTTCCTTTTGCAAGATGCTGATAGTAAGGGGAAAAAGATTTTATGGTGGCTGCCAAACCGTTGAAGAAAGCATCAATAGGATGAATGTCTTGTGTGTTGGAATTTTCTTTATTTTTTAGAATGTATTCCATTAATGCGCTTGACGCAGAGGACTGGGATTGTGGCACTATACGACGGCGATTGTGTGCAGTTGCAACGGTTGCTTTGCGATTGCGGTTGCCGGAACGAGTGAATTGTGCAGTTGACGGGGGATATGGATTCGGATCAGCAGGTGGTGTAAAATTTGGTTCACTAATAGCTGGTGAGCGATCTTCCTGCTGCTGCTGTTCATCGGTGTTAATAGTTTTGTTGGGCGTAGTAACTGGCGAAGTAACCGTTTCGTTTTGCGTCTCTTCGTTCTCAGACTCGATACTTGTTATTGTATTTCGATCCTGTATATGAGGCAGTAAAAAATTCAAGCTCTCTTCATATTTATATTTTTTTTATAGCCACAGCACCCTGTCCACTCTTGGTTTTACGTTTGTTTCTATGTTTTTTGAACTGGTCCCGTATGTTTGCCCCCCTTTTTTTACATACATCATCTGCAAAAAAGATAGTATAGAATGAACAAGTTAAGTAATTTTCTTTACAACCTGTATAAATGGTACTGTTAATACGTAATAGCTCACTGTAGTACACAGATACCGCGAAATTATACCATTATTATTTTTTCAGGTTCCTGGCTACTGGGGATTCGTTTAAAACTATTTCGTACAGCTTTCAAATGGGGCATTCAGCTGTGACCGAAATTGTACATAGCACATGTCGATCTATCGTTAAAAGATTTAAGAAAGACGTTATACCAGAACCAACAGAAGAAATGTGGCGTAAAATTGCCGAAGATTTTGAAAACCTTAGAGGTTTTCCAAATTGTATAGGCGCATTGGATGGAAAACATTTTGTTATTGAAGCCCCAGCCAATAGTGGTTTTATATATTTTAATTATAAACACACATTCTCAATTGTTTTATTGGCGTTAGTGGACGCATGCTACAATTTTATTGCAGTTGATGTTTGCGCTTACGGACGAAACAGTGATGGTGGCATTTTTGCACAATGTAATCTTGGAAAACGTTTAGAAAAATGGGAAAAAAAATTTATTAAAAATTTACCCGGTTCCTTTACGTTTGCACCATATGTAATAGTTGGTGATGAAGCGTTTCCTTTAAAAACATACCTAATGCGACCGTATCCAGGACACCAAGCAACAGTTGACGCTAATAAAACGAATTTCAATCATAGACTGTCTTTGGCCCGGCGACTAGTCGAAAATGCCCTTTGGTATTTTGACACAAAGATTTAGAATATTTCAAAGAAGAATGAAACTTGCTCCAGAAAATGTTGATTATATTATTCTATCTACATGCGTACTGCATAATTTTTATGCGAACAAAAAGATTACACAGGGCTTATCAATCATAGTGCACAAAATGCGCAACCACATTTATTAAATCCATTGAGCGTTCAACCAGGAAGACCGGCTAATGATGCATTTGCGGTAAGAGAATCGTTTAAAGAATATTTAGCGTCAACAGCGGGACGTAATTTTATAGGACAACAGTATCAAGAATAAATACATACTTACACTATAATATACTTCTTATAATTTACCTAACATATTCTAAAATACTTACTAAAAACCGATAATCCCACTCACATGTACTTACATGTTGTCGTAAAGTAATTAGTGACACTTGAATAACTATTATAAATGTAAATTGAAATAAAAGTTACAACTTACCAGATTGTTTTATTTCGTCCGAAATGATTTTCCAAATAATATTTTTGTATTTGTTATCTAAATACTTAGAATGGCTCATATCGTAAATCACAGGGTACTTGCGCACCCCCCCGAACGGGTTCCCGCCTTGTCGTGGCGGGGGGGCTTAGTAGCCGTGGCTTGGTCTCCCACGGTGAACAAAGAGGAACCCACGTGGCTGGCCCGAGGTGAAGGGCCGGCCTGAGGTGGCCGCTCCGAGTGGGCTTGGGGAGCCCACTTCGGATGTGTGCTAGTGGACTGCAGCGAGTGGGGACTCGCGCACCCTCTACCGCTGCAGCCGAGGTGGAGTCGCGGAGGAAGAGGAGTGTTGGTATGGCGATGCGCCACTCGCCCTATCCTTCGCGACTCAAACGGGGCCGCACCGTTGATGTGGTGGTGGTGGGGCTGCGGGGGGGAGAGGATTGTCGGTATTGCGAGGCGCCGCTCTCCCTACCCTCCGCAGCCGAATCTTGGTTGGCGGCGGAGCCATAGACCAGATCCGCCGATGGGGTCGGGAAGGCTAGTACTTCTAAGTGCTCGTTTTTCCTGGCCCCATGGCCTTTGTGCATCGGACGCGGGGGCGTCTGTTGCACAGACGTAGTTGGAGGCCGTGGAGGAAGGCCCGCCATGTGTTCTGGTGCGCCTTACCTGGGAAGGAGAACGGGGAGGAATTTTCCTCTCCCGAGGAGGTGCTGCCATGGGGCGGCAGGCGCTAGTAGGGCCGCGGATGTGTGCGAAAGCGTTCCCGTAGCCCTGCCAATATGCGACAAAGGTGGAACACCATGGGGTTTTAGTCGGTGCGAGTCCGACATAACCCGTCCTTGCCCCCGCGAGGCGGGTATGCGTAGGCATTTCCCCATGCAAAAAAAAAGGGTACTTGCGCACACATTCTAATAATTTTTCATCGTCCATCTTGCTGTTGTGCTGCTCACTTCACTAAGATTTGACGTTGACTGCTCTCCGGGCGCCCGGGCGCATATGTTCATGTTACAACGTGTCGGGGCCGGACCGTGCCGGAGCCGGGAAACAATACCCACCGACATTTCAACGCCGTGCCCCGGCCGAGTCCCGGCGGCGTACGGCCGGGGCACGGCCGGGCCACGGTCAGGCATGAATCGCTTCATACAAAAAGTACACCATAATGTTTTACCGTGCCCCGGCCGGGGCACGGCCCGGCCGCGCCACGTTGTAGCGTGAATCATCCTTTACTAAATAAAAATCCGCCATTTTGGAGTACAATGACACTGCTTGATACCAGTCATAATATTACCGGCCAGTCCCTGCAGTACATTTGCCGTAAAATATTCAAATTAAAATGAACTTAAGGAATTCTGCACATAACTACTGTTTGTTTATGTAATTATTCACTCAAAACAACAAAAACATTTAAAACAAATCAAGAATTATTATGTTAAATATAAATAAATATGTCGGCGTACCGGCGAATTGATGGTAGTAATCAAAGAAAATATTTGTTTACCCTGAATTACAGGCACGAATCTGAATAACTTTGAATTAAAACGAAAAATCACTTACCTTGGCATGATGTTAACGTAATTTAAGAAGACACACTATCACAATATCACAAAAAAATTATTCGGAAGCACTTCACGCACACCACGAAACTACGTCCTCGAAAAGATTAGACAAACATATTTTTTTTTCTTAAAGGAAGTCTGTTCTCACTGACTTAAATGAATAAGCACAGACTATAGAGCCATACTGCCCTGCTCATACGATCCAAAACATCAATTGGTTTAAGAAAACAGACTTGAATTCGGAGCTTGCGACACGGTCATAATATGACCGGTATCAAGTAAGGGCTTACATTTTGCGGTCATATTATGACCGATATCGGGTGAGGGGATATTTAGATAAATAAAACTATCTCGCATCATTAATGATTGAATGTATACGTTTTTATACCTAACATGTCTTTTTCGACCAATAGTTACTTAACCATTAGTCACTACTCAAAGTGTATTTTACTCTGGCACTACTCAAGGGTCAGTCAAGAACCATTACGAATTATGAAATTAAATACACTATTTAAGAAAAAGGATTTATAATGTAATAAAATGACACAACTTTAATTCTTTTCTGAAAATTTTGGACATACTTATTGAGCAAGTGCTGCAAATTGGTATTTTACGCAAAAAACAAACCCTGTTTGTTTTGCGATCTTTTTTATAAGGATAAATGACGCAACGCTTCCTTTTAGATGCAATGTTAGAGACAATTGGAGCAGATCTTTCAGGTATGGGCAGTTTGAATATCCTTGAAGTTATCATACGCAATTGTCGGGGAATCTTTTCGTTACAAATTCGCTGCCGAGCGTATGATAAGCCAAACCCGCGTAGGAAGTTTACTCGAGTTACTGACTTTTCACTGACTGCATCGTATGCGACTTTACTATCAACGCCTGTTATATTGAGCATTTTGTGAAAAGTCGCCATTGGGACCAACGTCGAGAAGCTCTAGCAACTGAGAAGTTGGCACACTTTTGGTCTAAAGCATCAACTCCAACTTTTGTTTATTTGTAAAATGTGATCATCACAGGTTTATTATGTTGATCAGCAACTATCTGCTATATGCATGCTTGAACCACATGCAGTGCATTACGAATAGTTAAAAATTGTTTACGAGCCATTTGCTTGCTAATAACCTCCAATCTCAATCCTGCTTTTCAGTACATTGGGATACGAGGGTAAGGAACACATCCAATGATAATATGAATCGAAAGCACTTACTATATCGACTGCAGTAGTTTTTAGTAGTTAGAAATGCGGGAGTGCAGTGACGAGTGTCATCATGCAAAAGATTTGAAGATTTCGCTATCATCGCGCCGCCGCGCCGCAATACACTCTTGGCCAGCATTATCTCCCGCTCCACCAGTTGCGGCGCGGCATACGAGGTCTCGGTTGCGGCATCGGCCACGATCAGATCGTAAGGCCCGTCTTATTCCTACGGTGTAAAGTCAAGATGTCATGAGTACCGCCACACCACCTTACCCTGGAGACGTGGGTCCAGTTTTATGTCACAGTTTACAGTCACAGCTGTGATGTCCGCAGAAGGTCTCGCCCTCAGTATGACAGAACTAAATCCGCCAGGTGCCGCACCGAGATCCAAAACCTTCAGCCGCTCCCCTGTCATAATCTGCACCACCTCGTCGCACTCGACCAGAATCTGTGCCAACTTCACACCGCTTCTGTTGATGAAACACGAACCAAGCTCCCGCTGCTCTAAGTATCTTAGCCCAAGGTCAACACGCGTTCTAAGCGTCGCTGACGCATACTCTCGCGTTGTACACTCGTACGTCGACATGCACTCCAAGGCCGCCCTCGCCTAACTGCCATACAACATGCATCAACTCATCACCGATAAAACCATGCACCTCTGAATAACCAATCGTGGGTGTGGTGATATTCCCCTTTCGCGTGTGCTCGCACAGCCTCGCGCCAACTGACCTACACGAAAACGCAAAGTTAGAGTCGTTTCCCCAACCCTCAACTCCGGTATAGGGAAGCAGCATGTTTGCGTGCTCTTCCGGTTTGTCCGCGAGCGTATAAAGGATGAACCTAAACGCGTCCACAACATCAGCAGTCACCAACTAGGTGTCGGTCGCGTCGTGACCCAGGTTGTACAACATCGCTCTGTACGCTCACCGGGCATCGGGACGACCCTGTCATGGCAGCAGTCCTTAACACTGTTTTTCAATGTCCTCGCCACTGATGCATTAGAAACTGAAAGATTGTCACCGTCTTTAGCCCTCAGGAGTTCACGATAAAATTTTGACACGAACTTTTGCCGCAACTGCTGCTGGCTCTTCTTTACTACGATGGCGTTCTCTGCCCTTGAAGGAGGCCTAACCACACTCCGGCCGTTCGCTGTTTGCGCGTCAGAACGTCAACCACGCAGCCCACTTCCAATAGTTGCCCATCGGGCGTTTTGGTAGCGGCCACGTCTATAGCTTCTACCCTCAAATCATTTAACTACACCTGCGAGTCCTCCCAGTTGCTTTCCGGGGGATCAGTCATTTGGGACTCAATTATCTCTTTGACTGTTATGTCTCTGATGGAAGAGAATATTTCAAACTCCAGTTGTGAGATAGTCTGTTTGCGGTTCGCCATTCTGGTTAAAAGTCCGTTCCAATAACCACCTACACTCTAACACACTCTCTGAAACACCTGGAAGCAAAACAAGTACTCCAGAAAATCTGAAGTATGAACATACTCCCTTGCACGCAGGTCTTTCTCCTGCTGCACATACGCCTGCAAGACCTTGCCAGTAGCGTACCGCTCCCTGTAAGCGATAGCGTACACTGCTAAGACAATCTGCAACAGAGCCAGTGGCTCAATGTATTTGTTGGTATATATGTTTACGCCGTTAATGGTTAAACGTGTAGTGTAACTAGCGGCGGCGGAATAAAGCCCGTTGAAATTTAACATCTTATCACCGCTGCGCAGACAGTGCCGCATCACCATGTCAAACAATCGTCGCGAAGCCGATATGCGCACCCTCTCGACGCGCAAACGCGGCGGCATGACCGTTGATCCGCTGAAGGGTATACATATCGGCTTCCATGATGTCAAAAACACTTCTTCAGTGCATTCTGGCATCCAATACGTGGACGTAAGTATGGACGTGCCGCATTCAGGTGTCATTTCGCAGTATGTCAATACAAGTTTAATTGAGCCAGTATACATAGTGGGCTTTTCGATGACAAACGGTAAATAGCTATTTTCCTCTAAGACGCTAAGTTAGCTTTAACCGGGGAACCTAACCTAATTTAAATATATGTTTGTAAAGTATTCATATTGAAAACTTACCAATCATGAAATTTTAATAACACGTATAATATGTTTATTCATGTCATTATATTACTTGAAACTAATTGCACTAAATAACTTATAAACTCTACTTAAAAACAAACAAAATAAGCAAAATGGCAGATTGTGTCGGCGCTACTGAAGTTAGCAAACGTGTCCTAGCCGAAAACTGTATAGTTTTTAGCGCTAGTAAGCGCTCTCAAGCGCTTTTTTCTGCCAAACGCACCCTATATGTCAAGATTGGATGTCAAAAACAGAAGGGTTTTATTACATAGTTGCCCTAAGCTATCAGGCAATTAAGTCAGTCTCGTAATCATGTGCGAGCATATCTTCAATAAGCTGTATAGCGCAAGAAGTGGGCGCGTGAGCTCTGTATTCTGTCTCTGTGTTCTCGCATGTTCTCTTTTTGGAAGTTTGTCCCATTCCAGTAATCAGTGGGTCAGAACTGAGTAATAATCTATTTATAATATCAGTGTTACACTTGATTCTTGAAAATTTTCTCGCGAAATTCTGCCTGTACAGATGGAAATGTTAATTCCGTGCCTCAGCGGCTTCTTCCGAAAGCAACCCAGTTGGAAACAACGCCTTGTCTATGATAGTGGCACCATGCACAAGGATCTTGTGCATCGTAGGTTTCATAGGATGCCACGGATACAAACTTATATAAAGTTTTGCAGTGTCAATGCAATAATCTACAAACTTGTCCAAATAGACTTTGTGACCACTTGATATGGCTTCAAGGGTGACTGAGCCGGTAAATGAAATTATAATCAACTCCAGTTATTTTTGCAGATAATTCAGGATTGGAAAAAAATCTTCTACTTGTGTTACCATCATTGGTATTTCCAAACTCAGCTTTCGGTACATCCACTATTAGACCAGTTTCACGCCTAAATTTCTCTTAAATGATTTTTTCCTCTCCTTAACAATAGCTTTGTCAACATTAGAACTTAACTGCCACTTTTTTCCAGTGAGTTTGTATGAGAGGTATAATATGCCTTGAACAGACGAATTCTGGCGTGCAATAACCTAAATAAAAGTGCGTCTACATCAACATCTCTTTTTACAGTTAAATCGTTGAATTCTTTCGATGGTGATCCACAAATGTAGCACCTCATTGTTCACGTGGTCTGTGTGCATTACATACTTTTGCGTCTACCATTGTAAGCATAGTATGTTTTACAGAATATGACTTTTCCTCTAGTAAAAATATTGGTTTTTGTAGGGTGTTAATGGCATTTTCCACATACGAATCTGATTCAAATAGGGCGACACTATCGCGGTGAGGATGGAGTTGGATTTTACCATACTGTTTTGGTATCACATACCAAACGAAGTAGTATAAAGCTACTTTGAAATATGTTACTATCTGTGGCGCCATTTTCCATCTTTTGTTTGAATTGTGCCTGCTGTGATCCATCACAGCTCCACTTGCAAAACAGTTCTAATGAGTTAGATTCATTTGGTCTTAGATCACGTAGAACATCCTTCAAATACGTCATTAATCTTGTTGTAGTATGGTTTAATACATCTTGAAGATTTACTTGTGCGCTTGTTTCAGTCACTTCGTACGACTCTTTGGGCGGATAGCAGTCACTTTTTGCTTTTTGTAGGATGCTGTAACTAGGAAACAACTTTTTACTACTTTTTACTGGCACTTCTTATTATACTTATTGTTGCACACTTATTATTTCATATTGTCGCCGAGTGAGGTCAGCTTCCACAAATACAGAAAGTGCCGATAAAGGTGTTAGCTGTTTTTCTTTGTCATCGTGTACTGTTTTGTATGTTTTTTTTTTCAACTTTATAGCTCTCGTTGGGGAATTCATAATCTGCTAATGTATACTTGAAGCATCTTTTTTCCAGATGTTTGTAAATTTGTTTGTGCAGCATGTATCAATATATCATTACCCGCTGTGATACGTAAGATTTCAGTTTTTCTTCTGTTACTTCTTTCGCTTAGCTCATTAACCCTTTAATGCATGACTTTTTATTTTGTAAAAAGAAAAATATTTTTGAGTAAATATAGTCCTATGTGTATGGGGAAAATTAATAAAAAAAATCCCAAGTAATAAAATACGAGTTTATTGAAAAAAAAGATATGTTGCCTTTTGGCTACATTATGCGTTGAACTGCTAGAAATGGAATGCAGCAAAACAATTTCTTTCTCTTGTGTGGCAAAGGGTAACCAGACATTTTGTGCACTCTATACGTGAAAACCCTTTGCAACCTGGAAGTCTGCATCTATTTTTTTTTTCACATCTTCTCTCATTATGATCAAAACCATCCGTCCTCACATCTTTTACAGGTACAGGGTTCACCGGCTTACGACGGGGTTTCTTTGCTTCTAATTCTTTTTCTATGTTACTGCTAGATGGTCTTCCTCTCTTTTCTACACTTTTTTTATAATTACACAGCGCCTCTGCTAATTCAGCTCTAAAATCACATAAAGTCATTTTTTTTTGTTTGATTTTTATCATTTGTTTTTTGTATAAAATCCATGAGTTTATAACTGCTATATCGATCAAATGATAGAAGATGCGAATATACCATTTTCGGCTTTTTATTCTTATTCTATACCTTCCCAAGAAACTGTCCATGAGGTCAACGCCCCCCATGTGGGCGTTATAGTCTTTAATAATTTTTGGACAGGGTATAGTAATTTCTTTTTTCTGTTTTTTATCGTATCTGGTGGTTGTCTCCGCCGGCTCCGCTCCAACATAAGTAGATGCTAATGTGACCATTTTATTGTCCTTCCAGGTAGTGACAGATATATCTACACCTTCATAGTCTGCCACTTGCTCCTCATAAGATCCTCTAGGTATAGAATCTTTCATATATTCCTTCTGTGCTGGTATTTTGCAATTTTTACCAAGCCTATTTCTTTGGATAGTTCCCAGAGCATAAATTCCTTGACTGTGAAGGTAGTACTCGTATAACAAAGGAATTGAAGTATAAAAATTATCGAAGTAAACTATATGGTTTACCTTACGAGGAATCAAACGACATAATCGAATGACGGTATTTCCGACCACTCCCAGATCTGGTTCACCTGGAGCCTGGGTAAAATCTTGCTTGCCAGAGTATATTTCAAAATTATACGCATATCCTGACAGAGAACATAGTACAAATAACTTGAAGCCCCACTTGTGTGGCTTATTTGGAAGATATTGCTTCATAAAATGAGCTAACTTGGAAGCACACATTTGTTCATCTAAAGACAACCTGTGTTCGAATGGAGCAGCACTTACAAATGAAGAGTTTAGGTGATCAAGTAATGGTCTTAGTTTGTAGAGACGATCATGCTGCGGATGATTTACAGGTTTGTGTTCTGAATTGTCATTAAAATGAATTACCGATCTTATTTTTTCAAATCTGTTGACCGTCATGGTTTGCATGATTGGAAGAAAGCCATATTTAGACCAGTATGATCTCACACTAGGATAGTGAAACACTGACATGAATATTATTATCCCTAAAAATTGGCGTATTTCTGTTACAGTTACAGGAGCACAGGTAACACCCTTTTGAACAATATTTAAATTGGTCTCATCTACAATTTTATTAATTATTGCGTCATTCATGAATTTAGAAAAAAATTGGAATGGAGTTTGCAGGTCGGCTATTTCTGGGGGTAATTCTGAGCATCCTAAGAAGGCAATATGATCTTCATTACATACCGCTTTTTCCATATCAGTTCTCTGCTACGAGATCTCCAAGCTGCAATTCCAAGAATACCCGGTACTGATAGAGCAAATGAAGGCCCTGGAGTAGGTTGCTCAGACGAAGATTCAGCACATTCGGTAGGTTCTTCTTCAGATACAAGTGGAGGGTTTTCATTGACTTCCTCATTATCATTATCAATATCCAACACATTCAAAATATCTTGTAGATTTGGATAGTAATCAATATCATTTTCGTTCCCTATGTCTTCCTCGTCATCTGAGATGTCCCCATTTTCTAAACGAATGAGAAGGTCTTCGATATCTCCATCACGCATCTTGCGAGACATGCTAAAAAGGAAAAACAAAAACAAAAGTCAAACAAAAGTTATAAACAACCAAACGCATAATGTAGACATATGGCAACATTTCTAAAAACTAACTTTACATAAAATCGAAAATAAATTAGACGATAAATGTATGAAAAACCTATAACTTACCTTTTTTCCAAGTTGATATTTATTTTTCTAACCACGCAGACTCTAGTTTTTAATAAAAACTTTAAAAATCAATATCTTCGTTTCCGCCACTACACACACTTCAACACTTACTCAGCTCTAATGACGTATGATAGAAAATTACCGCTAAATTTCATGATGGTTTTTACTTTTTTTATTGTCTATAGTCTATGCGTCCATTTTTAGGACTCGTTCAGAAACGTTTACCTGTTAAAACTTTTTTTAACGAAAATGAAATTGTTGCCATTTGGCAACACAATGCATTTAAGGTTGCCCTAGTCGATGGCACGAACTAAGTGGTGGGCGGGGCAAAAATGCATGCTATCTCAGCCGACACCTCGTGCGAAAGGGATAGACGCTGTGATGAGCAGTAAGAAGCTAGTGCGCACACACATACGCACTCAAGTGACGCAATGCGCGACGGCATCATCGCGTACCTAGGTACCTATGCGTTTCATTTTAGAATAATAACATAAACTCAAACGGCAATAGTGAACTTCGTGCCGCAATAGCTTAGCAATGAGTAGCTGCGCTGAGTGCCGCGGGTTCGAATCCCCCACGGAACAAATATTTTGTATGGACTACAAATAGTTGTTCCGGGTCTGGATGTTTGTTCTTATGCAATTTATATTTGTAAACTGCCTCCACGATACTGGAGAAAATCGGGGATAACGTATTTTAAAAAGAGAAAGGAGAGAGAAAGCAAATTGGTGTTATTGTAACTTAGAATCTGCTGTGTGAAACGTAATTATTATGAACCCAATTTATGTGCTTAGTTGTTATGATGAAAGTTCTTATGTGAACTTAAGTACGAGGGTGGATTGAAAAGTACTCGGCCTAACCAAGAAAATAAACACATACTAAATCAGTTATATTTTTATTTTTCTACATAATCACCATCAAGTTCAATACACTTTTGCCACCTCCCCTTCCAAGCATTTAGACCGTTGAAAAAAAAATGATTCTTCCTTAGAGTCAAAATATGCGTCTACAGCTGCTTTGACCTCGTCGTTTGTCGAAAATCTTTGACATCCCAAGTGCTTTTTTAGGTTAGGGAACAGAAAGAAGTCTGATGGTGCCAGATCAGGTGAATACGGCGGATGCGGTAACAGTTCAAAGCCACAGTTGTGAATTTCAGCCATTGACTGTACTGACGTGTGAACACGGGCGTTATCTTGATGAAACAGGACTTTTCTTCTGAGCATTCCTCGACGTTTTTCTTTTATTTCCTCTCGTAAACGACGTAGTAAGGTGCAATAGTAATCAGAGTTTATAGTCTGACCCCTTTCAAGATAATCAATCATAATCACACCTTTCGAGTCCCAGAATACTGAAGCCATCACCTTATTTGCCGACAAAATCGACTTAGCCTTTTTAGGGGGTGGTGAACCAGGTCTTCTCCACTGTTTTGATTGTTGTTTTGTTTCCGGTGTACAGTAATGAACCCATGTTTCGTCCATAGTAACAAAACGATTCAAAAAATCATCTGCATCGGCTTCAAATAACTCCAAACAGTCGCGTGAAATAGTCAATCGCGTTCTTTTTTGTTCAACTGAAAGCAGTCGCGGAACCCACCTCGCAGACACCTTGTGGAAACCCAACTCGTTGACAATGATGTTTTGAGTTCGTTCATAAGAGATGCCTATAATCTCGGCTATCTCTCTAATTTTTAATCTGCGGTCTCCCATTATTAAATCAATATTTTCGTCAGTAGTTGACGTCGAAGGCCTTCCAGAGCGGGGTTCATCTTTCACACTCTCTCTACCACGCTTAAATTTTGCTATCTATTTTTTGATGGATGAATATGACAGAACACAATCGCCTAATGTACTGACCATGTCATCATGGATGGCTTTTGATGATAGCCCCTTCTTATGGAGGTACTTAATGACGGCACGCTGCTCGATTTGCTCCATTCGCGGAAATTATGTCCGATTACTTTGTTAATAAATTTATAAAATCACAACTAATTATCGCACATGTTTCGAACTTCACATAATGAACTAGTCTGAACTGAACTAAATAATGTGGGTAGATTTGATTTTTAGAATTGAATGGATCTGTGTTAGGCCGAGTACTTTTCAATCCACCCTCGTAGATGTTGTTATTATATAATAATTCCATTGGTTTGTTTTTACCTACTTTTTAACCGACTTCGAAAAAAAGGAGGTGGTTCTCAATTCGTTGGTTTTTGTTTATGTATGTTCTGTCCCCCGATTTCTCGAATATGCCTGAACCGATTTGGATATATTTTCCAGATAATCCCACGGTAATCGACGATGATCAGATCAGGATCTGATGAAGGGATCTTGGAGAAATCGGGGGCACTTCAGTAAATGACAGCAAATCAACAGCGATTGCTGCTATCGCCTATCTATGCATTCTTTACGCAATCACACAATATAATATCACGCCTGTACCCACTAAAGGGACATAACTCTAAACTAAAAACGGTAACATAAAAAACTTTTTTTTAAAAAAAATATAACAATTTCCAAAACAAACACAAAAAAGTGTAACATAATTATGTTTGCTGTATGTTTTTGTATTTTACTGTAGGTTATGGAAATATTACTGAAGGTACTATGTATTCTAAATAGGTATTTACTTTCCATAGCTAGTTAGCTATAATAGCCCGCAGGCAACTCCCCGATCCCGAAGTATATGTCAGCCAGTGTCAGGATAACTGCTTTTTCGACAGCGCGATTTTGATGTGAGTGTGGCTTTTATATAGGTAAATTAAATAAAAAAAATGTTAGTTTGTAAATTGTTATTGATTGTTTGTGTTCAATAGCGGTTTAAAATATTCTCTTAGTACTTAGAAAGTTATTAACAACAGGCATTGTGTCACTGCAGGGACAAGCACAAACGTCTATCAAAATAGTAACGTATATAAACGGAATACTAACAGCATAGACTTCCTTACAGAAGTCCAAAGAACACGTCTAGGCAAGGTAAGTAATTAGAAGAAAACTACAATTTAGAGATCGATTGTAAATCAAATTCACAGTACAGACACAATTAGCGAAATATGAATAAAATTTTTATTTATTTTATGATAGATAACGCTAGTTGAAAACTAAACACTGTATCGGAATGGCATCACTGAACGAGTCAGGTGATCAGTCCAAACAAATAAAAGGCGCGATTGTAGAAAGAAATTCGTTACTTGGTCGGGGCTTGACCTGTTTATGCTATTCATAACGAAGGCTATAAATATGTAGGTATAACTTAGAAACTAAATCCTATGTGTACTTATCTGTATTCATAACCCAATATCTAAGGTAGGTTATTCTGTAATAAAAGTAAAGTAAAGTAAAGTTACAGCCTATATACGTCCCACTGCTGGGCTCAGGCCTCCCCTCATTTCTGAGAAGGTTCATTTCTGTTAAGGTTTTTCGCCGCGCTGCCCAAATGCGTGTTGACGAACTTCACATGTCTTCGAAATATTTTTTTTCTTATTCCTCAGACATGCAGGTTTCCTCACGATGTTTTCCTTCACCGCCGAGCACGTGGTAAATCAGCACTTAAAATTGCAATTAACAATTTCATTGGTGCCGGCGGAGATCGAACCCGGGTTACTCGCGTTCTGTTATATTTACAGCGAGCGTTAACCACTGAGCTACCACGGTTCTGTAATAAATTAAATCTAATCCAAAATATAGGTACTATAATACCATAGCAAAGCTACTACTATTTTTTTTGTAGTAGCTTATATAGTAGTATAGTAAATTATATATAAAAAAATATGAGTATGTCTGAGGTAAGGTTAAATATAAACAAATATTTTGCCAAGTGCGAATCGGACTTCCGAGCTTCCGAGATTACAAGATTTAAATACCTATACATATTACTATCGATCAAAAAAGCCAAAAATACACGTTTCTTTTTCTAGTAGAAAATCCTTTAATTTCAACAATAGGTATATTAGGATATGAGATTCCTATACGTAAGCACGATTATCGAAAATCTAAAAATTACCTATTCTAATTCAATTAATAGATAATTTTAATATTTTAGATAATCGTACTTATCTATGAGATGTTTTCGTTAGTTAGCAAATTAAAGTAGTTAAGTACCTAATGTACTATCTGTATCGAAAGTTCATTATTATGTACCAACTTGTTTTCAATTTTAACTAAATGTGCTTCAACAAACTTATGGGAACATTTTAGCAGCTATATTCATACCGGCTTCAGCAATGGACACGAACAAAAGGAAGCAATTTTTCTAAATAAAGATGTAGATATGTAGGTATTACAACCATAAATAGATAGCAGCGGCTAACCTAGTGAGCATGTGTGAGTGCGCGCTGCGCCCCCCCTCCGTCCGTCCCACTGATCGGGGGAAATAATTTGTAGCGAAAGGCAAGATGTTTTATAACAAAAACGGGCGCGCGAAATTTTATAAACAGACCTTTGGTAGTCTGGATGTCACGAAAAATCTATTGAATGTATCTGTTTAAAATAAAATTATTTGCAGTTTTGAACAACTAATCTATCCCTGTATGGTAACTGTTTTGCAATTTTCGTTCTTCTTATGGTATTTATTTCCGCCCAAAGATGTGTTAAAAATAGTGTTGAAATTCGGAATTTTCGACGCTTATAACTTTTAAATATACTCTTTTTTTACTTTTTTGTTTCCATACAGGGCTAGATAATGATGAGACCAATTGAAATCATTTTTTATTTTGAACGTACACCATCAAACAGTGGAGTTATCGCCAGACTACGTTTGTATGGAAGAATAAGCGACTAGTGTACCCTTAAGGGTTAAATGGTTTTGATGATCGACTTAAACTTTTAGGCTTCGCTCTCGGTATTTCGGATGTATTTTTTAGCCATTCGTCATTATTATAAAGAAATCTAGATTCCGTTTTATCAGCATTTTTCCACCTTTGTTTAAATTCCGACTTAATATGCGAAAATTTGTGTTTCAATGCCTTTGATTCGTCTTCAGAATAGTTTTCGCTGGACAAAATACAATTTTCCAAGTAATTTATTTTTCTTCAAAATTAGGCAAATCGTGCTTTTTCATTATATCAAATAGTAATCTAAGGATTCCTACTCTAACACCTGAGTAACCAGGTGACCCTGAAACCAAATAATTACCAAGAAAACATATTGTAAATTCCAAA